AATACGGAATCACCTAAAACCATCAAAACCCATTTTGTATGGAATATCTCTCACGTGGAATTTCAGATGGTATCGACCCCACGAATTAGAAATTGTCATTACATTCCGATAAAATTCTGATCTGTAAAAATGTCTAGTCGTAAAAAATATTTACAATCGACATGACCTCCACCTTCGCATCCCAGTATTATGAAATTTCATTAACATTCATGTGTGTCATTATATCAATAGTCAAAAGAAATAAAAATGCAGTTTTACTCGGAGGAAAAATTCGAATATAGAATGCGAATTCATGTGAAAGTCCTGATATTTAGATATCTAAAGAGTGAAGGGAGATTAAAAAAAAAATAACGACATGAAGGATTAATGCGATCAATTGAACTGCAATTCGATACTCTTCCAATTCCGGATACATATGAGTTTGTCTGATCAAAGAGATTATGAAGAAATCGATTAAATGACTCCCAAAATTTAATTACGTGCGTATGCACCGGAAAATTCGGAACAGTAAATACTCCGGATAAATTCTCAAAAGGGAAAACAGTGGGAAATAACGATGAACTCGGGAATAAAGAGACTAAATATGAATTGCTCAAAGAAAATTTCAACCAATCAATCCAAAGAAGTTTCTGAAGTAGTGAAGTTACAAACATCAAGTCGAAATATTGGCGTATTTGCATTAAAAAAAAACTGAAACCACTCCTTCCACACTTGCATAAAGTATGATCTCCTCAATCCCTTCGTAATATTTTCGCGCAATCGGCAAACACCGGTGTCTTACACACGCAACGTGCGTTTATTTCGCGTAACGGAAGATAACCGCGATTGCAAAGGCGTGTAACTACGGCAATCACGTGGCAACCACAGAAAAAAAAAAATAAAAAGAAGCAAAAACACCGGCAATTGTACCACACCTATTCAGCCCAAGAGCCTGTGATTTATTGATTATCCACAGCCTACTCGTACCTTTAATGAGTCTCTGGCCGACACTTTTAAGATTTTTCTCCCCTTCTCATTTCCTTTTTCCAATCCAAGAAACTCAAATAAACGATCGAAGATTGCTCGGGAGGACGGGGAGAGGCATGCAAATTGTAATGCAAGAGGGTGTACATGTCGGTATTACTTTGGCTTTGTAGATGTGCAAGGAGTGGAGCAGGTGGAGGGACAAGGTGGAACAAGTATGCAGGTGCTGTCGACCACTATTGACAATGTAACGACCAGTCATGGACATTCGATGTCTGCTGCTTGTTTTTCTTTTTTTTTTCCCTCCGTTTTTTTACAACAGTTGATATTTATTTGTCAGGTGGACATTTCGAACTAATTCTCATTCAATACTCTAATTGGACGGTTCTTTTCTGATCTGGTGATAAATTGGTTTCGTGATTGAATTAATAAAATCATTATTTAATCTTGATGTAAATCGAGTTTGAAGAATAATGGAGAATAATTCTTTGAATTGAGGATAAATCAATCGTCGATAATAGTTCATGGTAATGGGGAACATCTGAAGAGATTATTAATTATCAAGTACATGATCAATTGATTTTTCATTACTATTCCGATCTTGGAAAGTAATTGTCAGGCAGTACTTTAATTAGACGGTTCTTTTCGTCGCCGAGAAAATCACGGAGTGACTGATCCGGTGATAAAGTGGTTTTGAAATTGAATTAATGAGAGAATAGCTCGTTCTTCAGACAAATTACGTTTTCCTTGTTTGATAAATAGAAAAGTGTTTATAGAGTCGCATTTTTAACGAATTGTAGGGAATAAATATTCAAATAGAGGAATAGATGTCAATGACAAATCGATAATCGATTGTCGAGAATAATTTATAACGAATTGATTGGTGATTAATCACTATTTCTCGTGTTCTACAGCAGTTGACGTGAATTCCTTTGGTGGGTGTTTGGGACTAATTCTTGTCCAACATACGAGGATTTTATGATGAATTGATTTTAGGTAATGGCGCTTCAAATTGAAAATGGAGAAAATTCAGATCGCTCGAGATAGTAGATTTCATCTGGTATCGAATGCCCCGACTTTAAAATTTGAAGAATTTAATTGTTAAACTGATCATATTTTATGAAATTTCGAATAATCTCAAAAGTATTAATTTTTTTTTTAATATCAAATGATTTATCCATGGAAAATTAATCGAGCATATTTAGGTCTTTTAATATTTACGCTTTCAATCGATTATTTTTGAGAGATTTCAATTTATCAGTTACCACTAAATACAAATACGAAATCGCAATTGATGATTTATTAATGATTGACAATTGAAGTCTAAAAAAAATTTCACGTGTTTAAAATCACGAAGAGAAAGTAAATTAAAGGGAAAGAGAAGGGAAAAATAGTGCCGATAAATCATTCGTGCGAATCACGCGAGACAAGGGCGCGCCCTTTGCTATTAACTGTGTTATCACCGCGACACGGAATCTATCGGAAATTGGTAAAATTCAGGGACAGAGAAATACAGAAATGTCAGAAGGAAGAGAGAATCGAGAGATGAGGAGAATTCCACAAAACACGCGTTTTATTGACACAACTGCAATTTTTTAAAATAAATGGTATAAAATTACCGCTCACTTAAACCTTGCATAAATAACAGGTTCAACAAATTGTGATTGATTTGAAATTAATAATATTCCTAATGAAAATGAAAAATCATTTTGCAACCTGTAATTGTGAAAATAGAAAGTTTCTTTTTTTCGTTGTCGATTTGCACGGGGTCATTAGTCCGTATCTGCTTAATCTCAATTTAAAAAATAAAGATTAACATACCAACAATTTTCAAGATTAAAAGAATTGAAATAGGCTGACTACCAGGTGGATCGACAGGGTGATCGAAATTGGTATTTTTTGGTTGAGATTTTTCTACGTAACGAAAATGAAGAAATTAAAAAATGGAATTACAATATTTGTGGGAAGAAAATCGGTGAAAAATCTTTCGAATTTCTCGTCAAACGAAAAATGACTATTTCAGTTCACATGAGCAAACTTCGCACTCCAAACGATGACTCGACTGACGGCCGTGAGCTAATGTTAGTATCATTCCGGAATGGTTACTACTGTGTAGAGACGAGACAAGTGTGTTACGGCTGCATGCACGTTGGGCGACACAAATTTAGATTCGATTTGCGGACCTCATTATGCTGCTCTCTTTATTCCCGAGAGAAAAATAAAAACGTCTATTGCCAACAGTAAGACCTGTGAAAAACACTAGATAAAAACGATGAGTTGTCATTTAAGACACTAACCGTCAAACATTTGACAACATACAGCGGTGTCACGTCAAAATACAGTTCGAGCAAAAATCCCTCGAATGCCAGATATTTTCTTTAAAAGAAATGAAAATTAAAAATAGAAAGAAAGAAAAATACGAATGAGAAATGAGGGAGACTGGAAGAGATGAAGAAGCTTCTGCCAATTTTCACCGTTTATTGAAATAATAATAATTTTGTTTCTATTTTCATTATTATTCCATCTGTGGTAAAGAGAACAACTCTTTTCGGTTTATTAAGAATTAAAAAATAATCTAATTTCACGCATCACACAAATTAAAATTTCCCTCATTCTCAGTTTCACGGTCTCCAGCATGGATATCCCTCCGAGGGAGGATAAAAATACGAGGGGATCCCAGGACTGGGTTTTTCAACGAGGAACACATGTCTGGCGCCGGGAATAATGCCTCCCACCAGAATTACTCATGTGAAATATCGAGGATAAAAAAATATTCCCATGAAAAATTACTCGCCACCGATTCAAGAGCATATTGACGTCATCCATCACTGAAAATACCGAGACAAGGTGTACCATAATTTACTCCCCCTGAATTATGATTTTTCACAAGGGATGTGCATGTTCACCTGGTTGGAACGTCCATCCTCTGTCCACGGGCTGTCAAAAAAGCCGCGCGTTCAACGACCTGACAGGTGCACAATTATCCCAATAAAATCACAACACTGGATGCATTATCATCGACAAATACCCGACAATTGATCTAGCGACAGTCTTCCGGGTGAGTGAAAAAATGAGATTTTTTCTTTTCTCATTTCATGATTAATCGGCAACGTTCCATGCCCGTTGACCCGGAGCACCATCGCTTCCAAGATGGCAATTGTTTTAGAGAATTTACGGAGAAACTCGGAACAATACCGGTGGCACTCAACTCTTCGGAGACGTGGTAATAATGTTTTTGGGGGGGCACTTGGAGTGAACATCAAGGAATTAAGTAATTACCTCGTTTATTGACGAGCTCCGAAATCTCCTCCTTGTTGTCAGCCATCTTAGCACCAGTCACTGGTCACAATGCACGACGGGTAAAAACAAATTCAGGGGATTCGAATGATTCAACTGCCTCCTGGTGAGCGGAACATAAAACGGGTCACAGGGACGAATCGTTTTGGGCTCAAAAAATGCAATTTCGACTCAATACCATGGAAGAGTAGAATAATGAAAATTTAAATACTAAATAATGGAAATTCTCCCCCAATTTAAGAGGAAGGAAAATTTTTTAATGAAAAAATATATCAAATTTCGTTAGTTAACATTTAATTAAATAAACATGTAAGACGTTCAAACAATAAAATTGAGATTAAAAAATCGACCATTGTAAATTAATTTTTTTGTCCCGATTTCCTTTCGAAAAAAAAACTCTCAACTTTTCAATGAAAAGATTAGAAAATAAAATCAAATTTGAATATAAAAATTGAAAAAAAATATTAACACCGTGACATTTGAAAAACTGGAGATTATCCTCGATCAATTTTGTTTGGAGGTATAATCAAAATGGAAAACAAAAAACCTTCGATTTTCGAATAGAAGCGTAAAAAATGGGAAAAATCTCCGGGGGGGGGGGGGGGTTGTTGAAAAGTTTTTACTGGGAAAATAGGCAAAAAGGGGATGTTATTCAGACAATTTTCTTCTGGGGACTATTACGAATAGGAAATAGAAGGCCAGGGGTGATTTTCTCTTGATACAACCTTGAAAATGGTCTGGGAGGACACGTTGCTTTCGGCCCAAAGTGGCTCCAAGTGTATCAGACACATTTCCACTATCGGTATTGACGACGGCAGTGCATAAATCTTTAACAGCCGGAGAATTCAAGTTAAATTTTTTCCCCCAGGATCAACATCATGTCAAGTCGCGATGTCGTCATTGTTTCCGCAGTGAGAACTCCCATTGGTAAGTTAATTGATCAATTGATCCGTCATATCCCCTTTAAAACTATAACCCAATCAACCGGAATGTGTGTCAAACGCGGAATTTGAATCCTCGCTATCGAGGAAGCAACATCCCGATAATAACTAAATGATTTAGACGATATATTTAAGTGGTATTACGACAAATCTCAGGGGTCAATTCCGTTAGAATTGATCCAGCGATATTCTAGTGTCCTTCACGAGTTTTAAAAACAATTTTATTTGGATATTATATTCAATTACAACCGGTCAGCTGTGAGTCAACCTACTTTCCAAAATCCCGTTAAACTCACAATCAGCATTTCTTTATTCTATTCGGGAAAATATTTCGTCATCAATAGCTCGATGCATGATGAAATGTAAACTGTACTGCGAAATAATGATGTTAATTTAAAATATATAAATTCGGTGTTTTTTAAATGTCGATTTTTAGGTAATAAAACAAAACGCCCCAATTTTTATGAGATCTAATTTTGAAAAATCTGTTAAATGAGACGATGTAAAATTGTAGGATAGAATAAAATACCTGTTTGGATTTTTCATTAGCCTCATAAATAGGAAATGAGCGAATCAGAGTCGGTTAATTAAGTCGTAATTAATTAAATAGTTAATTGGATTAATTAATTTTAGGAACATTCGGCGGATCTCTCTCATCCCTAAAAGCCTCGGATTTGGGCAGCATTGTAATAAAAGAGAGTCTGGAAAGAGCGAACTTGAAACCATGTCACGTTTCAGAGGTCATCCTGGGTCAGGTAAATGTCGAGATATCTGAGTCAGCCTGTAATTAAATAATGCAATGACTGTCACCATTAAATTGAGTCGTGCATCAACTTTTTTATACATATGAAAGGTGAAGAGAAATTAATAAACTTTATGTGTTTATTTCTTCGTCGGGAACCAAAGAAAAATCGTCAGTTCCGATGGCATGTACACTGAGAAAAAAAGGAAATTTTACCAATGAAAATTACTCGAGTCAAACAAATGTGTGCGAGGCGAAATTTTAAACAGACACTTGCGCTATTTTTCCCAATACGTTTTTCCCAATTGAAATATTTTTTTGCGAGTCGAATAGTCGCTGTTCTAAATTGCTATTCGATTATCCCACAATTGAGATGGATTGAAGTGGATTTTTCAATGATTCATTACGAAGTGGAATAGCTCAAATCTTCTATGAAAAATAAAACGATTATATTTGATGTATAATCAGGTGATGTTTAAATATTTGAGAACAGTTAGTTAGAAATAGTTGATTCAACTAGTGAATACATGTCCCCAGGTATTGACGTCAGCCCAGGGGCAAAATCCAGCTCGTCAAGCTGCGATAAAAGCAGGACTTCCCATATCTGTTCCTGCGTACGTGATCAATATGATCTGTGGCTCAGGCCTGAAGTAAGTATTCTGGGAAGCTCATTGGAATAACAAAGGATTGATTTTGAATAGGAGAGAAGAAAAAAATGAAAATTGCTTTTCCATAGAGCAGTGGCGAATGCATATCTCGCCATAAAATCTGGGGAGCATGAGGTGGTAGTGGCTGGAGGACAAGAGAGTATGAGTCAAGCACCTCATGCCATTAACATGAGAAACGGTCTTAGAATGGGAGATGGAACCCTAGTTGACACGATGATACTGGATGGATTGACTGATGCTTTCAGTGGAGTACACATGGGGGTCACAGGTAGGTCTAAAAATAATTTTTCAATTCGTGAATGATTGGGGAGTGAAAGAAAATCATTCCTCAAACTGACAATCAATGTTATGTTTACAGCGGAAAATATAGCCAAGAAATTCGAGATAGATAGGAGAGAACAGGATGAATATGCAGCGAAATCTCAGCAACGAGCAGGTGCTGCTATAGCTGCTGGTTATTTCAAAAAGGAAATAGTGCCAGTAACGATTCCATCGAGAAAAGAACCGATTGTGGTATCCACTGACGAATTTCCAAAGCCTGCTACGACTGTAGAAACCCTTGGGAGGCTTCGAACAATATTTTCACAGGTGAATCCATCGTATGCGGAGATTATTTTAATAGCGAACCGATCAACCGGTTTAGGTCCATTTTTTCTGATGGCCCATTTTCAGTAAAAATTTCGAAATCAACTTCGAGTTGATAAATAAATAAATTTCTGTTATCAGACTGAAGGTACAGTCACAGCTGGCAACGCATCAGGAATAAATGATGGCGCAGCAGCACTCGTATTGATGTCAGCAGAATCAGCTGCTGATAAAGGAATTCCGACATTGGGAAAAATTGTGGCCATAGCCGAAACAGGAGTAGAGCCTGATATCATGGGAATGGGCCCTGTCTCGGCAGTCGAATTAGTAGTAAGTGAAATTTCCATTTTCCAGACATCTCAAGATTTAAAAAAAAAATTTCAACAATTTCAACCATTTCAAAAAAAAAAAAAATCCGATTCGTTTTAATTGACGATTTTAATGCGCAAAAAATGGTGAAAAGGAGTAAGAATCAACTGTTGAAAATGTTTGAATACCTTTTAGGATATCTTGCTTATACAATTTTTCATTATAATAATTATTCTTGGCAGCTAAAGAAAGCAAAGTGGACGAAAGATGAAGTCGACCTTTACGAGCTGAACGAAGCGTTTGCATCTCAATCTTTAGCATGCCTCAAAGAATTGGCATTAAATCAAGAGAAAGTGAATGTAAATGGTGGAGCCATTGCATTGGGTCATCCCATTGGTGCCTCAGGTGCGAGAATCCTGGTGACACTTATCTATCTTCTAGAACGAACTGGCGGCAAAAAGGGAGTCGCCTCATTATGTATCGGAGGGGGAATGGGCATTGCACTGGCCATTGAGAGACAATAACGAAATTATTATGCCATAATTCATTAGACCATCGACAACGAGATCGAATGATCTCGATGATTTCTGCGTTCAAAACAAAAGTCTCTAAAAATCACCGACAGAATTATCTTTGCATCCCTCAACTGTATTATTTATTTTGTCCAGTGGTTTCATTCTCCTTGTTGTTATTCATTTGACTGTTACACTTTTTATGACTAGAATTGCGACTGCATTCAATTTGAATGAACGGAATATGACATCATTACAAATAATTGATATAATGACCAAGAAAAGTTCTTTGACATGGACATTGTATTATTGCGTGAATTATCCAATTACCTCAGGAAGTTTCCTCTTTTGTATTGAAATAACCAGTATTGGTGGATAAACGATTTTAATGTAATGTATTTTTACACAAAAAATGAAGTTAATGTTTTTTTATGATAAAAGGTGAAAGTGAACATAAGTCTAGTGCACTATTAGAAAAAAAAACTATATTTGCTTTAATGAAAATTATTTTTCCAAAAATATACAAGTTCACCAACAACAGCTAATCTAATTTATAAAAAATCTTATAGCCTCTCAGAATCGGAAGTCTCCTGTTTCGATAGAATTTCCTGTACAGCAGCTTTGTCATCCTTCAATTTATCCTTAATCCTCTTCTCCCTGAAAGTCTTCTTCTGTTTGACCTCCACATTATCCCTCCTGAACATGGGATTAATGGACTCGAGTTCATGTCTGATGGCGGGAATAATTGGAATCTGGTAAAAATAAAAAACTTATTACGAGATTATTTCAGAAGGGATTCCAGCAGGTGCAGCTGGATGAAAGCCCCTAGTCTTGTCCCCCCCATCGAACGCTTGGAAACCATCATCAATGTTTTGATGGGCAACGACTTTCAGCGAAGGAATACATATCCTCGAGTAACTCTCGACGATGGTAGACCAGTGAGAGTCTTCCCTCTTCTCCCCATCAGGTACCGAAAAATATGAACCCCAGACACTAGACACCAGATACTTCTCATCAGGATGTGGCCACGCGATATTAACCATTCCCTCAGCATGCAGCTCTTCACTGACCACCACAGTCTCCAGGCCCACATGAGTAGAAGGAATTTGCACATCCTGGAGTAAATTATCTCCCACGTAGAGACACCTGGGGGATTCCTGCTTGCAGAGCCTACCGAGGAAACTCTTCAACTCTCCCCAATTCCCCTGGGAATACACTCCCCCCTTTTTCATCTCCGCTCCAGTGATCATCTCCTTCTCCTCATGATCATCAACCGTCCAAAAAGGTGAGTCCTTCACAAAGAATCCGGGCTTTTTAGCGAAGCATACGACAACATCGAACAATGATTTCCAGTCTTCTCCAATCGTATGAGTAGCTGTGAAATTTGCGAAATCGACATTCGATCCAGTGATAAGAAAAGTCGTTCTTTCTTTCTTAATCTCCCTGATCCATTCCACGATCTCATTACTGCATTTCCTGAAGTACTTGTTAGGATTTTTCTTCAGTTCCGTGAAGTAGTGGCTATGGTCTTTCCTGAAGTTCGTTCTCTCAAACATATTGCAGGCCGCAGCATACAAATCAGGCCATATTTCGTATTTATCCAGGGGCTCGTTCCTCTTGGAATCAATACTGTCGACGATACGAGCAAAAATCAGAGAGAAGGGCATGTCAAAGTAATCCATCAGGGCTCGAACTTTCAGGGACCAGGGCCCATTCCAGACAGCCATTGGGTCGTTCGTCAGAAGATCGATTGCCTCCCACTTCTGGTTCGGGTAGATTTCTCCGATTTCTTGGGTTGTCAGGAACTTTGTCCCGTGGCTGACCATCCTGATGATCCCCTCAGAGTTCGTTTTTAGGATATTTCCTCTGTCGAAATCCAGGATCAGCCCCTTCTGGAGAAAGTCGATGGCTTCATCAGTCAGTGGCTTCTCCAAGTACTCCGGGTCGTAGCCCTTGTTTTCCACCAAAAATTTCGCCATCATCTGGTACTCCATCTCAACCATGTTCGTTATATTATACCAGAGAATGGTGTTGTCTAAGTCGAAACCGATGCAGTCGTAATCACTGAATTTGAAAGTACTCATCTCTCTGTGGCGCTTGGAGAGAAGTGATAATTCTCGAATTTGGAGACGATTTCTTGAAATTATTGCAGGGGTCACCCCACGAGCTATCACCTTATGTTGGAGTTTGTGGAAGAAACTGATGGATTTTTGAGTGATTTTTATCATGAGACCACTTTATATTATTTAGTTGAAGTTTTCATTGGCGAATATCAGGAAGTATCGAAAATTCTCCAGGACAATACGAAAAGAGATATTAAATCGAACTTTGAACGCGGTCTCCTATGTTGGAATGAAATCGTGAGTTGTATCGACGTGTCAGTTATAAGGAAATCACGAACTCGATAGAAAAACAACTTCGATTTTTCCTATCAGTGGCACAATATTGTTTACTTTGATAAGAGCTCACGATTTCGTTTGTTATTTCAGTTGTTATTCACTCTCGTTCGAGAGATGTAACCCAGTCCCAGAAGTGACTTAAAATTTTAAGAACACCAATGTCTCTACCCCAAAGTCCCTAAATCCAATTTTGTGTGGATAAAACGAGTATTCATGAAGGATGAACTTACATTTGCCGGGATCTGCACACATCGGATGTTCCTGGCGTGAACGAAAAACGTGTCGAAGGGAAATCTGTCACCTCTGGGATCTGTGAATACGCAATCCTTCATCACGACGTTCATAAACCTGAGGCATAAAAAACACTAGGAAGTCCTCATCAGAGTGGCTTGTATTTTTTATTCTAATTTCTATTGTTTACCCGTCAGCCTGCTCAACCGTTCCATAAACGAATGACTCGTTTCTCAAATCAACTGTTGTCTTGTGTCCTTCTACTGCTTTTAGGAGAATTGCGAGACTATTGTGGAAAGAATGAAGTTCTCGAGTGGATGGTTTTGTGTCAAAATTCATCGCAAAGACTTGGATGTTTTATTCAGATTGATATATCTATGAATTGAGGGCTGCGTTCAACAAAAAGTAAATGTTCGTAAAATGACAGATGACAGGTTATATGACAATTCGTTGACCGACGAGGTGTTCATGACAGCCGAGGAGGCCCGATTTCGAGAGTTCGATAGAAAGTTATAATCGTTCGGTATTTTGTAATAATAAATATTAATGTCTGGACAATCGTAACGTTATGTTATTAGGTCAACAAATCACAATAGGTTCGCCAAAAACGATTGTGGCGTCATCTTCTCCATGTTATGATACCACATGCTCGGTGTCAGGTTGTTCCACCTCCAAGAACTGAGTCTGCTCGCTAGTTTCAAGTATTTTCTTTTTTTTTTATAATAATATGTGTGTCAACAAGTTCAAAATCTAAAAACCGTCCGTGTAGACGACTGAAAGTGTCTCCGAATCCCAAATAAAAATAACTGCATATTAGCAATCCTATAGTATTAATATACATTCGCGGATATGCTGTTTATCGGGTGTGTGTCAAGATAAACTCAATCATTCCAGAAGACAGGTTTCACTGAATCAAAACTTCCCGAAGAATTGACAGATAATTTAGAGATACGATCTCTCCAGAATAATGAGTTTGTCACCTGCAGATCTGGTGAAATTGCTGTGTCTTCTTGACGAGGATAATGCAGACACCCCCTTGGAGGCACTCGTCAAACAGCTCCACCAGGAATTCCTCCCTGAGGATCGTTTCAAGGTCGGTCTCACTCTGGTGCTCCTTCTCCAGCAAATCGACTTGCTGCCAAATCCCTCCCAACGACTGATAGCCATTGCCCTTCTCTATCATCTTTATCAAAATCAGTCATTTGTATCGACACCCTTCGCCAGTGTCTTCAATCAGATTCTCAAATCCACGGATTCGCCTAATAGTTTTGACAAATCCAGTCAATCCGACCAACAACCGATCCTCTCACAGTACGAAACCAAATTTCTGGCTAGTCTCATCGGCTTCAACTCCTCGGAAACCCTCAAGCGCACCCCCAGGAAAATCATCGATGGTCTTTATTTTCCACCTGGAAATGGTAACAACGAGGCTCTCACCAATCTCCAGTTGCAACTAGCTGAGCAGCAGTCTGAATTTCCAGCTGTTAGCAAATGTGGAATTCCATTTATTTTACCGGATCCTGAGACCAAGAAGGCGGAGAACGATAAAAACAACAGGAAGGAGGTGAGAATGCGAAGTGGGAGACTAGAGATTTCATTCTGCCAGCTTTAAATAACGCTTCAATATTTTGCATTCGAATGGACGCGTGTATTTGTCAAATCGAAAATTTCAAAAACTGTCGAATGTTCAATTTTCTTTTAAAAATTCATCTATAATAAAAATCCAAATTACGGGCTTGAAATGATAATTCATATTTAGATTTGTCTGTGGTAGTGAATAATTCCGCTATAGTCATCGATTTCGTGACTACTCCTCCGTATTTTCCAGGTGATCGAGAATTTAATCTCTGGCGATCCCCCGATCTGCACTCAGAACTACTTCCCCGAGTTCCTGAGATTGGCACCTCCCCTGTACAACAGACCTAGTGGTCTCCCCTGGATGGACGTCACAGAGCCATCGCAATTCACAGTGGAGTATGACACAACGATGTGTATATCAAACAGCGCTGGTGCTGAGGCTCGCCGACTCATGGGAAAGGCCTTCAAAAATGTCCTGACCCTCCAACAACAGCAGCACTTAGTAACTGAACTCGAGAAAGATCCTAAACTCGTTTATTCAATTGGCCTGACACCCCTCAAACTACCAGATCTCGTCGAAAATAATCCCCTGATTGCAATCGAAGTTCTCCTGAAGCTCATGCAGTCTAGTCAAATAACCGAGTACTTCAGTGTTCTCGTGAACATGGAAATGTCATTGCACTCCATGGAAGTCGTAAATCGTCTCACAACAACTGTCGATCTTCCCACCGAATTCGTACATCTCTACATCAGCAACTGCATTTCAACCTGCGAGACTATCAAGGACAGGTACATGCAAAATCGACTCGTGAGACTTGTCTGCGTTTTCCTCCAGTCCCTCATCAGAAATAAAATCATTAATGTCCAGGAATTGTTTATCGAGGTTCAGGCGTTCTGCATTGAGTTCAGTAGAATTAGGGAAGCTGCGGCATTATTTAGATTGCTCAAGCAATTGGAGTCTGGGGATGTCGCAGGATTGAATACTTCAGCGAAGAAGAATATCGATATTTGTTAGGGTTTGTGATTTTTCTCGTGGATTTCAAACTGCTGTGAGAGAGCCGAGCACAATTGACATTTCAGATTTTTCGAAATTATTCATTACTCAGGATGAAATTATCATTATTTATATCTTTCAAACGCTTACTCCACTTCTTTATCTTTCTTATCTTTCTTATCTTTTAATTTGGTAGCAGGTAAAGAGATCATAAAAATTATGAGTGTATAATTTTGAGAGCATGAAAAACTGGTTATTTTGAAATCAGGAATTGTATGAACCTTTATAATTTCCTTCCTATTGATATTTCAGAATGTCTTGTATTTTTTTTTTCTAGGCTTTTTGAATAGAACGGGGCACGTAATCATGAGTGCCATAACAGAAGCAATTTACCATTTTCTACTTATATATTTGTTATCGCACTAATAAACGGGGAAAATATATGTATCGTCTATCTACTCAATCCTATACACTATATACATGCATTTTTTGATATTACAGTATGAATCCATTTGCGTTTTAAAAATGTAGGCAATCCTTTGCTGTTCAAAATATATGTACATATAATATATAGAATATACACTCTATGTATATTGCTTCATAAATGGAATAGAGACTCAAAAAATGTTATATTGGATTTTTAAGAGGAATTATACACCCATAATTTTTTATAAAAAGTCCTGGGAATCTATAAAATCCAAAATTTCTGTTTTGTCCGTTCGATCTCGAATTATTTTTCTCTTGATATTTGTATTTTTGGAGGAAAATGTTAATAAAAAAAATTGTAAAAAAGGAAAAATTGGGAATGTTTAACTTCAAAATATTTAATTATTTAGATAAATTCCACTTGTCAATTTTCCAAGGGTATGTTTGCGAAAAAGTGAGAAAAATGAGCTTAAGAAAAAGACGTAATATTGAAGGTTTTAGACGCTCCAAAATATTTAGGAGCACGTCTTCACTCCGAAATAATAAAAGCCATGGACAGAGGGCTCCCTCCCTTCGACAATTATGCCCCATAAGCCCCATAAGGACGTGAGGGACATAGTAGCAATCCACATGAATTAATCCTTAAAATCTTATCTCAAAGATAAATAAAAATAATACATTGACTCAAGATGAACTACACGAGCTTGTGGCACGTAATTTTAATACTATTATCATGTTTTGGTGTCAGTTATGCTGACAATGGTAAGTTGATAAGCGTCATACATAATTACAAGCGTCAAAACTTAAGACTCTAACCTAGACTACCTCTTAATGAATGAATTTATATAATTTCACTTTGGTTCCCTTTCTTAATGTTAATGCACATTTGTTTTAACAATTGATAGACGAATTACAAATCAATCGCCATAGGATTGGTGATGGAACAACTACTGCTGTACCAGTGTTCAATAAATCGGAGACTATTGTCACGATAAATAAAACAACACCGACTCCTGTGATCACTACTGCCGCATCTGCAAGTTCGAAATACACCACCTCAGCTGTTTCGACCACTGGTACAAGGCATACAACGAAAAATAATGAATATATGAGCACTAATCCGACTAGGTTGACTACAACCACTGCAATACCACCGGATAATAGTACAAACTGCGAGACTAAAATTGATCTAGCTACTTATTTGGGTGAGTTTCATTCCCTTGCCAAGTCATAAACTGAGGAAAGTGGAGCTGAATGGATGCGTCATTCGATTTCTTAAATACCCATAACTTAAGAATTCGTTTTATAGTCGAGTGGTAAAAAGAGAGCAGCTGACTTTGCCTTTTGGTGCGTTTCTCGGAACGAAACGTTTCGTAAAACTAACTCAAAAGCTATTTGATCTTAACTTCTGTTACAATTTCCCCATTGAGCTGTTTTACTACAAAAAGGAAAAAAGGCTCTCTCGAGGAAGAAAAATGATTCATTTTGTTAACAATTGATTAAGATTTTTAGGCGTGAAAAAATCACAAGTTTCCACATTGCTCCCGAAGTCTAAGTCGAATTTTACAGTTTTGTCAGGTATCGATAGGCCTAGAAAGCTGTCGATTCGTGAAAGATATCAACCGTTTTGTTTTTGTTTTCTTTGATCGGCGACAGAAGTTCTTCAATATTTCTACGTTAAATCAATAGCTTTCGAGATGAATCAATGATTAACCAAAATGTCAATTTCGACTTATCACATTTCATCAATTCGGTAGTAAATTGTGGATTATTGTACTATCGTCTTTAGGTTTATTTGTCAATTTTGATTTAGGCTTTTGTGCGACCAGAAATGTATGGAGTAAAATATTTCGAACGCTGTCTGAATATTTTTTCAATTCTTATCATATCAAATATTCTACGCGATGTGAATGGCCACTTCGAAATATTCTAGATTAAAAAATGAATAAGTTATTCAGCTAGCATTGGAAACATGACACATCTGGCGTTAAACTTAGTGGTTTTCGAGATGAATGGAGAATTTACAGATGTCTAGTTGCATTCAGTACTTTCCAGGTTTTCTTCATTGCGTAGTTATGAGAGACATAAATGGCGAAAAATGCCCCTTCACATTGATTGCAGCCACTTTCAGCCACTTGTTCCTTCATAAATCCACAACTAATAAAATTATTTAATCACGTCATTGCAATTTACCATTCTGCTAGAATAGAATGAAATATTCAATTCTCTCAGCAGTTCGAAATAATTCCTAAAATACTGTATCACAAAATCAGCTCGACGCGTGATCCATTAAAAAAGTGTTTGAATTCAACTATTTGACGATAAATATTTCATTTCAGGTGGATGTGCAGTTACGGCGATTGCTTTCATGCTTGGACTATGCATATTTAAAATGCACGCCAACTGGGTATCTGCACGAAATTATCTGAGTATCTAGCTGAATTGTCACAAATTAATAAATGAATAAAAAATATTTTTCTACCTTCATAATATACTTTGTTCATCTGTTCATTACTCTCTCCGCCTCTCAAATATGAAAGGATTGGGGAGGACCGACACTCGTAGAATTGGTTCCAGTAGTTCCTTATCGCTTTATCAACAATGAAATTCTCTACTTATTCTAAAGCTCGAAGATGAGATCTATACATTAGTTATTCTCCTCTCAAGAAATTTTCTCCTGCACTCGCCAATTTTACATCGACACAGAAGACAGCATATGGAAGAAATCAGTGACGAACTGGTGAAACGAAATAACGAGAAATTTTAATCAAATATGGACTATCGATACTGGAATATTTTCTAAAATCACCATCAAACCGTAAAAATGAAAACAACACGACGACCTCAACAAAAATTTGTGGTCTTTTTTTAGTTTTTTTTTAGTTATTTCACGAAGACTGATTCAAAACAGTGCCGACTAATTTCGTTCCACCCATTCGTTCCTGAAATAGTGGACTTGATAAACAAACATTATTTTCATATTTCTCATGAGAAAGTGAAGACCTGACGCACATCACAATTGTACTCTCGATCGTTCATTCGGCATTCACAATAATAATAGAGTACTGCGACCCAGAATAATGGCTCATATTCGGACTAAACTATATTTTTTTCCGCAATATTATGGAAAAATTGCGACGTTCACATCAGCGATTGATTTCCAAAAACAGACGCACACGTTCGTTCATTACAGATATGTGCATTGGTGACTGAAACAAGAGGTACATATATATTACATATTCTCTGTGAATGCAACAGTTGACTGCATTAAGTGTCACAGGTTGTAGTATCTACAGTTACTCAGTATAAATAGTTGATCATACAGCATTAATTTATATTTATTATTATTTTTGTTTTTTTAATACCCGTGCAGACAGTCAGAGTCGTTACTTGCCTCCCATAATCATCGTAAGTTATCTAATATACTGGAGGAAGTGGTTGGAAGTCTATTTCGTCTCATAGAAGATTACCTCATTTCAGTGGTGAGGTGGGGAAATGAAATGACTCAATTTCGCTTCAAAATTTTCCTCGTCAACGTTTTACTACTTGCCCTTAATCCTTGAGTATTTCAAGAAAACTGAATTTTCAGTAACAGCTGCACCTCGCTGTTGTACATCTGTATTCATTTGAGCATCAAACCGCTCACAAAATTTTTCATACATCTCGCAAATTCGTCAAAAGATAAAATTCAGCTTTGCATGCTCAAAAAATGATTTCCGTCTCTCATAATTCATTTTTCAAGGGGAGCATCCAATCTTACTCCCTGAAGCTCATTAATTATCGATCTACTTGAACAATTCAGTAGTAAAGTGGCGAACCACTTCTACCCCATGAACCTCTCCCCACAACTTCAACACCCCTGAAAATCAAATACCCTCCCTCCCCACATCACCACTGGCGCTTAAAAATTCAAAATTTGATTAAAAAAGGATTACATCGGAATAAATTCACGTAGGGAAAAGTTTGACAGGAATATCTAGCATTTCTCAAGAACTTCTAAATCATTTTTACTCAAACACTAGCAGAATTCTATTAGATTGCTATTAGAATTCTATTTGTTTTTTCTTTTGCGTCAATTGGGCAACTTAACATTTACTAATAGATATTTCATAGACAGAACACAATTTCAACAGAATTATAGCGGAACTCCACTAGACATTAAATATAATTTCCCGTAGAAAATGCCGGATTTTCTCAGAAAATTCAGTACCTCAAAGGTAAAGGATAAAAAATCGATTCAACAAATAAGTAATTCTTCGAGTGATATCATCAAATTTAAAAGAGATACAAAAATGTTTGCCTAGACCTCTTTTCCAGCTCTTCTCGCACTCTCGAGAAGAGGTTCCGCAAAAAAATGGCAATCTCCCTCAGATTCTGAGATATTCCCGAAAAATAGCATTGGTTGGCAAATGTTTTCCTCCATGAATTATCCCGAACCCCTTCGATCCAAAGAACAGAATCGCAGAATGCCCCAAATAACGTCTACAAACAGCGATAGTCACCATATCATTGTCAAAATTATTGTATCAGAAGATAAACCTCTCTGATGTAATTCCCTGTTTACTCCCGTACAAAAACAAATTCATTGTAATGATTCCACCGATTCTCCTCGGAGTCGACTCCAGGCTTGAGTTGTTCAGCACTGCCACCAGCAGTGCCAGATCCACAGCTAGCAACAAGTTTGAATCCCTGCTCCTGGAGCATATCAAACGCCTGCTCGATGAAGCTGTGCTTGAGAAAGAACCTGGATGTGTACCTGTCGGACATGCCATGGTCAGGATCCCGACTCTCATTGAGAGTCTCCCCAAAGACATCCCTGCACAAAGCAACACGTCCACACACCAGTATTCTGGACAGCTTCCTGAACTTGACATCAGCCAGTCCATCTCGACCAAAAGCAAAACTCCCACGATATCCCACAGTGATGTAACCAACAGGGCGCTTGCCATTGGGCTCTTTGATAGCTCTCTCAAGTCCAGGTAGCCCATAGAAAATAGCCTCGCAACGTAGTCGCTCCCTTTCACGAAAAGCCTCAGGTAGAATGAGCGAGTCATTACGCAAAAAATCAAGTACATAACGAAACAGCACCCCATCACGGTCCAGGAAGTACCGACCCTTGGAGTCCCTCTCAAGACTCGATTTGCCCGTCAGTATCGCTGACAGATGCGACTCGCTCTCCTTCATCAACGTCGATCTTGACGTTGTGTAAAAGACTCCACCCACATTGAGTTCAACCACCGATGGCATTTCACCCTCCATTTTACTCATTCCTCACTCAAATTATTTCTATTCAATCTGCAAACAGTGGAATTTATACCCTCTTAATTATCAAGTCACTCTGATCGAGAGGGAAAACAAATTCAAATAACACACTCACAGACTCGTCACCTCGTCGTGTCTCAGTCACTACTGACTGGCGAGTGCTCGTGTACTCAACTCTTGTTCCCATACGATTGAACAGAAAAAAAAAATATATATCAACGCGCAAGGAGAGTTGGCATCCCGCGCATTCAACCCCTCGAACTGAGGATTCGATCTGCCATCAGCTTTCACCACCGAGGCACGAGGGCAAACCACGTCCCTCAACTTGTGCCCATTCCAATTCCTCATCCACCCTCTCTTACCCCCATATCCCCTTGCCCTCTTTCCTTGATGTCCCTTTCCCCTTCTCGACCAACATATGTTCACCCCTCATGACGTATAGATTTTTCTCCCACCGGATTAATCTATTTCGCAAATGAGGTTTCGGGGTCTCTCTTTTGGTGAATTTTACGTTATGTAGGATTTTTTTTTCTAAACCATCCATTTTACCATCGAGGAGTGTTCCTCATTGGAGAATTAGAGATCAGGCTTTAATCGAAGGTCTAGACTACTGCATTCATCTTGATTGATTGTCGCCTCGAGGCAGAGACTCTCGATGCACGAGAGAATGGATCCTCGGCAACAATTTTTCTTTTCTCTTCTTCATTTTGCCCCCCGGTTTTTTGATGAAGCAATAATTCATGGTTCTGCTTTGACTGTCGAGCGCAAATTTACAGTATCGGGATTCTGTCTGAATAAAATACCAATAGAGTGGAAAACCGATGGGGAAGAATAGAAAAGTTGGGAGGTTTAAATGGTATAGTGTTCGTCATGCCTAAATGTCAAAGGAAATGCTTTTCGATGGAGTTGGTCAATACTTGCCGGTGGAAATGTATCCCGGACGTTTTTATTTATACCGTGTTTCATACACGGTTCGTACAACATTTTATCACTGATTGATTATTATTTCTTGGTTGTGAACAAATTTTCTACCTGGACAAAAATATTCAATGAACATTACCCGTCTTTTCCGAAATTCTGGAGTGAAATGTTCTCGAGGAAATTTTTCCGGTAAACAATTATTCTATTTCTGCAATATTAATTGAATATTTTTTTCCTTGTGTTTTATTTTTATTTCTGTAAGCTACTTTATTGGTTTTAGTTCTTCATTAATGACGAGCAAAGTGACAAGGGAAACAGTCAAGTATTGCAGTTTTGTTGATGTTCGTGAATTTTATAGAAATCCGTAGAGTACAGACGTTTCTTCATCGTGCAGTTTAAATAACGAAAAAATGTGAGAGTTCAATCCACAGAATTTAATATTTATTTCTACAGCCCCTCTCAAAACAATTCGACTTATCTCTTTTTATGACTTTGCTATTGTATTGCAAAAAAGATTTATGCAGCACTTCTGATGATCTCTGAGTATCTCTTGACTTTACTGGCGATGCTCAGGTCGACGTATTTGTCGCCAATCGAGACGAGCATACCCCCGATGATGGTGGGATCGACCTTGGTGGTGAGGAGAAGAGTTTGACCCTTTTGCAGGAACATTTTGAGGGTTGATTCGAGTTTGCTCTGGGTATCGGCATCCAGGGGTTTGGCAGTTGTCACCTCGCAAACAACCTCACCCCTGTTGGCTGCCATGATCTGCTTGAAGGCCTGGGCAATCTGGCCGATCATCCCCAGGCGTCCGTTCTCAGCGAGGAGAGTCAGGAGATTGCCTGTTGCTGGGTTCAGGCTTAACTTTGAGCCAATTGCCTTGAACGCCTCGGCCTTTGCCCGACGTTTGATCGACGGGTCCTTCAAGAAGTCCACGAGCTTTGCATCGCTCTTAATAAGCCCCTAATAATAGAAAGGATTATTCATCGCTTCGCCATTCTTGTTGCCAGTTCTCGCACAAGGTCATGGTTTTATTTTAAAGAGAAAGAACTGTCGGGCAAAAAAAACAAGCGAAGGGAAATTTTCCCCTTGAAAAAATAAAAAATTTAGAAAAAATTGGTAGTCATTGGAAAAGTCCGATGCTATTTTAGTATTTCCTAGAGTAACATGGTTATTATTGATGGGATCTTATCAGGATTGACTGCAGAGTCATCGGTGAATTTGGAAATTAAATTATTAAAAAAAACTGGACGTGGAAATTTCATCGACATAATAACAAAATATGGTATTTACGGTTTTCTGTTAGTTACCTGTCGATCATTAGAAATTTCATGCTCCTTAGTCATTAAAAATTTCACAAGTAATTTCCTGATAGTTTGCTCGATTATTTTGAGGTGGGATAATGACGAAAATGAGGAAATGTTTGACTTCCATTAAATCCAAGGCTGAATTCTTCACTGAGGGATAGTTGTGTAGAGAATGATGCGTAGTTTTTCGAGTAGGTGAAAAAAGAGGAGAAAAAAAATACGACGCATCGATCACGTGTGACAAAAACATTCGATTTGGGGCGTTTTTTTAGAGATTTCGATCTAGATTCTGATGGAGTACGATGGGATTGAAGGGTGGCTTTTTCGTTAATGGATTAACATGTCAAGGACTGTTCGACTATAAGCTGCTGTTTACATTTATCGTCTGCAGCCTGGGGTGAATTGTGAGTCACATTGAGAGATTTCTAATGAAAAGCAGAATTCAACGCGTGAAAAACCTCGATTATCGATTTCCTTTTTTATCGCCATATTAATTAAAATTGCTTGTACAACATGTCTTGAATTTTTAATACTTTTTTTATGTGCACCCCTAATTTTCTGGAAATTCTAGCGTGACCGTTTAAGACGAGGATGGAATTAATTTGACAAACTTCCTGAGGGGGTCAAGCGAAAAAAATGAAAACGTTACAACGGCAGTACAATCACATTAATTTAAATAAAATTACCGGCTTTGAAAATTAATGAATGCTAATAAAAATAAATTAATGAAACTCTAGTATTAGGTGATTAAATATTCACAATTTGATAATGACCGATTAGTTTCTATTTCAATTGTGGATGCAGGAGAATTTCTGCATTTAATTGGAGCCACTCCAAACCCAGATAAAAGTGTCTCACCTGGAATTTCAGGAGATCTTTCTCCACAGCATCCAGTGCTGATTGCTTGGTGGCAGCTGAATACAAAGCTGTAGCATAACGTCCCTCAATTCCAAAAACCTGGATTGGAGGCTGGAAATTGAAAAATTAAAAAATTAATGGTAAACAAGATTGAGGTTAAAGGTTTGTACATTCACTTCAACCCGAAAACATAAATATTTCGAGGTTCTCGATTAACGCATGGATTATTAAAAACGAAAAATCTAAACCAAAGAATTACATAACGAATTTACGAGCAAATAAATTCTTTATACCTTCACCAACTGGCGTGTCACCGAGGATGACGAGAAAGACCTTGCCTGTAAAATCCCGAATAACCCATTAGTGACTGCATTTTCTGTATAAACAAAATAATTAAAAACAGAACATTAAAATCACAAAACTTGCCAAGACACTGAGTCGGCTGGTGGAAGCCATTTTGAAGTTAGAGTTAGGGGTTAGAGCAGCTGCTGAACGGTTAAAAAAATGGGCAGAGATAAAATTGCAAAGGCCAATGATTACAGCAAAGAGGATTGACTAAAGTAGAGGCTCGTAGTACTGCACCCCAAGAGAGGGAGGGCACCACACGCAATGCTGGGGTGTCCATGAAGTCGACGGGGTGAATTTTATTTTCTGCGGTATGAATGCTCCTTATTTTTTATTTGTTTAACTGAGATTTAGCCGACTATAGAACGAGCGGAAGGGGGAAGCCACATGTTGTGGAATTTCAAATGGAAAAAATTATTCAGTATATTGAAGATATACTACTAATGAAATTATATTATTGTAATAAGCGTGTTGTTTATTGACCACGGGGTTTGCTTGGCCCCGGGCGGGTTGGGTTTGGTTCCGGCCTTCTTTATTTTTTTTTATCAAAATAGTTTCAATTTTTTTTTTTATAAATGACAAATCAATTGAAATATTGTTTGAAAACTGAACAGCTCCTCGATTTTCATGTTCCCCTGATACATTTTCGAAAATTTCGAATTTTCAAATTTCAGTAAATAGCTCCTCGATTGTCATTTTCCCCTGATACTTTTT